ATCTTTTAAAAGTTATTTATTTATTTGGTACACAGCCTTAGTATGTACCTCAGACTCGTAGTGATCCTCCTGTTTCAGCCTTCTCTGGGCTCCGATTATAGTCATGCACCATCACGCCTGGTTTTGTGGCAGGCACTGCATGGGGTACTGGGGATCGAACCCAGATCCTTGAAGTTGCCAGGCAGGTGTTTAGACTACCAAGCTATCTCTCCACCTGTAGACAATAATTTTTTTTTGGTACTAGGGATCGAACTCAGGACCTTGTGCTTGCCAGGCAGGCACTTATGCTGCTGAGCTATCTCCCTGAAATGACATCAAGTCTTAATATATTTTTATAACAAGTCTGAAACTGAAAGTCATAATAATAAGGACAATTTTTAGGAGACTCAGTAGAAATTAACTGTGATTTCTTTATACCTTCCACATTTTAGAGTTTAGTTTCAGGTCAGGTTCAAGAAAGAAACATGAGATTGATGTGAGAGGATTAGGAATGTGAATTATTTATTTGTCATCCAAATGTCTTTCAATATTTGTATGGAATTCACAAATGAGTTTGAGATCCACACCAAGAAGTACCATTTATTATTTTCAGGTCCTTTGTGTATTCACACATATTATAGTTATCTGAAATGTGTATCATTTTTTTATATATTGAGCAAACTATTTAATGGAAAAATAAGTACTCATTTCTTTGAACGATAATCCCCGACTCCTCCAATTTTCTGTAATAATGTAGTGTTTTAGTTCTGCAAAGCTAACCCTTGTCTGGAAGACGCTGTGGAAAATGGTCTCCTAGTGCAGATCACAATTTAGACGCCCCGTATCGGACTAAATGGGAGCAGCTTTGCATTGCAGCCGTCATTTTTTTCCTGATGAGAGAGCTTTTCTGCTTTCTTTCTGGTGGACGATGTCTCTGCGCACTCACTCTGCAGCCAGCAGATCTGCAGTTTCTTGGGCACCGCCTTCCTTGCTTGCGTAGGCCTTGCCCTGCTCCTGTCAACCGCACATTTTCACCTGTGGGCGGTCTGCCCCGCCTCTCCCTGGTGGGGAGTGAGTGCACACCCTCATCACCTCTGTGGGCTAATGAAACAGTCCCCTAATAATCCATCAGTCATTCTACTTATGGGCACAAAGGCTGAACGTCAGTCACTGATAAATTAGAAAACCATTAAATTAGCCATTAAATGTCCTTCAGATCTTATATAATGTAGCCCTCGTCTGCTTCTTTCCTCTGGTCTCTTTCCAAGCTTTCACCTTGAGACCTTTCTGTTCCCAAGCAAAATTTTATATGGTTCTGAATGATGTCGGGCTGTTTCCTGACTGCTGGGTTACCTATCCCTACTCCTTATCCTTCTTTAAGATTGCTCTTTTCTAGTGATTAAAAAAGACACTAATTTTTATATCACCAGCTCAGATGGCTAAAATCTTCACCCTTTCGGATGTCTCCTGCATACCACGCGGCTCTTTCATAGCCCTGAGGTGAGAAGTTAACAGGATGTGCAAGTGGTTGGGTCTTGTGCTCAGGGCCAGACAGCCAACAAGCTACAGAAAAGAGAAAGATTTGGACTTAGGCAGTCCAGCTTGAGACTTCAAGAGTGTAACTGAGGCAGGGGATTCACAGGATTTTTGAAATAACTAACCACCTTGAGGTCAAATAGAAGAAATAAAGAATAGATAGAAATGAAATTGACATTTTAAAATTGTCCTTTTAAGAAAAACTGTGGTTTCGAGATACAGTTTCCTCAATTTTTTTTTTTTTCGGTCTTCTTTCCCCTTCCAGGAAACTTGCTCAAAAACTTTTCTTTTTATCATAGACAGCTAAGCCAGATAAAAATATTATAGGCAGTCTGATAGGGCTAGGCCCTCATCAGGGCAGAGATGAGGACCTTATACCTGTGGCCCAAGGTGCATACCTTGGGGACAGCATGGCCAGGCCAGAGATAAGTAGTAACACGTGGTCTAATGAAGCTAGCCTCTGTCACCTCAGTGGATGACCATCAGTCACATCTCAGATTCATCGAATCCTAAAAGTTCTTTGTTCTCTCCATGTGCCTTTGTTACATCACTTGTTTCCCCCTTAGATCAATATTACCTGAGTGAATATACTCGGAATCTTATTGGTTGAATGTAGTTGTAACCCACGTTGGACTCATATGGTTGTGCTCCATAAGACTTCCCCTGCAAAATAGAGTCCTTGGTACTCCACCTTTATGTCCACTCCCACCTCTCAGGCGATACCGTTCCTCAATAAATATTCCTACTTGCCACCTCCATTGTTCCTAGAATTCATTCTCTGACTTTAGAGAAACCAAACTTAGCGTATAGGAATCTAGCAGGTTGAAAAATATGACAGTTCCCTTATAGAGGTCTGAATATCATTCTTATCTCACTTTTGCAATAAGCTTATAAATCAGATCCTTAATCCATCCTCTTCCTGTATAAACTGTGCTTCTTCTGTCCTCAGGAAGCAGCAGTATTGGTGGGCAGCAGATCTCAATTTCGCACACAAGTAGAAGATGGCTTGCATGGTAGCTTCATGGCTAGAATACCCCTGCACTTCCTCCATCACCCATCTTGACAATATCCTCTTAAATGCACAAAGCCCTGGCTCATAAGATGTCTCAATTCTCTGAGCACCACTCTATTCTTAAGTGTGCTCTGTATCCCTGTCTAATAAACCCATCTCATGTCTCTCTCTCCGATTGTGCTCATTTTCTGTGATGGAAGTCATCGGACATGCAAATTTATTTTAAAAGAGTGGGATAGGGTTTTTATTTCAGCCTAGGGGACCTCTCAGACTCAGAGTGCTGACAACCTGATAGGAAATAAGCCAGTAGCTACAGTTTGGGGTTTTGAAAGTAAGAAACAAACAGAATATTGTAGTTGCTCAAAGTATTAGAGACAGGTAAATTAGATAGAAATTATCACACAGAGAGAAACTTAGCTCTCAAGAAAGTCAGCACAAAAAGACAGAGAGCTCAAAATTGTGGCTGGAGTTGCGTCTAAAATGAAACAGGTCTCAGAATGGGAGAGCAAGAGTTTGTTTCTTGCCTACAACAAACTTTCCCATTAGTTTCGAAACAGACTATGTCTTATCCCCATCTTACATGTAGCTAAGAAGCCATGCAAGCCCCCTAAACCCTATTGCATGCATCTTTTCACTTGGCTATATTTCCATGGTAGAATTAAAACCTTCTCTGATTCACTCATCTTTTTATCTTCAGAAACTTGCAAAGACTTAGGAAAGTAAAAGATGTGTGATACTTTCAAATGCTTATTGAATTTATGGATAAAATAACAAAGTATTTATTACAAGTACTGTCTTGTCCATGGTTCAATAATAGGCAGGGTATAAAAGTGAGTATACTTGATACAGTTTTATAAACATTTCATATGAGTGTTTTATAAAGTTTGTATTTTTGGACTATGAATGTATTAAAAATGTACTTATACTCTGGTTTCTCTTTAGTGTCTATAAATCACTTACTTTCTCATGTTGTTTTTTTTTTTTTTTTTTTTTTTTTTGAAGCAGGCATAGAACTCAGGCCCTTGGGCTTGCCTGGCAAGTGCTTATTCTTCGGAGCTATCTCCTGCACACCTGCCTACAGATAAGCATGGATTTGAGATTACTGTAATTAGCACCGCCTGGTCCAGAAGGCCCAGCTAGCCATCAGACCCACAGGTGGTGGCCAGCACACCTGGATCCATCTTCTTCACTCTTCCTCCAGATACCTTTGTTTTTCACATATACCCTTGTTACGTAACTCAGTTCTCTATTGTATCAGAATTAGCTAAGTGGCTGTTCTTGTGATCTTATAGGTTGATGGCAGTTTGACCCGCACTGTATCTACATGGTGATTTTTGATGTATAAGTTACTCTTGACAAAGGGCCTTGGCGGCCACCCTCCTGGGACACTTCCTGGAAATGCATTAGCTATTTCTCTTCACTTTATTTCCAATTAAACTCTCCTAACTTCCCTTTTCTGTTCTTGATTTTGTTCCTTGATATTGAGAGTTCACAAACTCAGCACATTTGACATCTAACAAGTCGGGAGTTGTTTTTCCTATAACAAAAGGAGTAAGCCACACATTTCTTTGGGAGAGGAGTCAAAGAATTAATCAGATAAGGAAGCACACAGTCTTTAAGAAAAAGAAGGATATTATATTAGCACTCTGGAAGAGGTCAGTGAAAATAACTAAACTATACCCAGTCTTGCGATGTTTATCCCCCTTTTTGTGGTATGAAGAATCCATCTTGGGACCTTCTGCTTGCTAGGCAGGTGCTTGTGCTGCTGAGCCACATCCCTGGCCCCTTTAAAAAAATGCATGACAAATTTATGACATTCCTTTGAGGCCCCAAAGAATTTATTTTTTTTTTTTTTATGTATTTGATATAGGGTCCACAGGGTGTTCAGGGTCTTACCAAATAGATCAGACTCAGTGATCCTCCTGCTTTCAGGGTCCTGAGAGATGGGATTACAGGTGCACCACTATGCCCAGTCTCAATCAATAGCATGCCAGGGATTGAATCCTGGCCACTGTGCTCTGCCTAAGCAGGCATTTTAGTCCACTGAGCTATCCGGCCAGCCCTAGAGGACCCATAGAATTTAAACATCTTCCTGTAGGAATTCTTTGTGAAATAGCACATGTTTGCTGTCCTTAACCTGGCTGTTGGTAGAGGAAAAATTTCATTGTCTTGTCTAGGGTTGATGTGATAGAACAGCCAATGTTGTTTCTTGCCTACAACAAACTTTCCCATTAGTTTCGAAACAGACTATGTCTTATCCCCATCTTACATGTAGCTAAGAAGCCATGCAAGCCCCCTAAACCCTATTGCATGCATCTTTTCACTTGGCTATATTTCCATGGTAGAATTAAAACCTTCTCTGATTCACTCATCTTTTTATCTTCAGAAACTTGCAAAGACTTAGGAAAGTAAAAGATGTGTGATACTTTCAAATGCTTATTGAATTTATGGATAAAATAACAAAGGTACATACCTGGTTTTTCAACAAGTGTTTTACGTAGAAGTCGTATCTTTTTATAATAGTTGACACACACTGTCTGAAAGGCAAAAGAAATTTAGCTGAAGTTGGGTGGCACATTTTATATTATTTTTGGCAGAGATATTTATTACAAGTACTGTCTTGTCCATGGTTCAATAATAGGCAGGGTATAAAAGTGAGTATACTTGATACAGTTTTATAAACATTTCATATGAGTGTTTTATAAAGTTTGCATTTTTGGACTATGAATGTATTAAAAATGTACTTATACTCTGGTTTCTCTTTAGTGTCTATAAATCACTTACTTTCTCATGTTGTTTTTTGTTTTGTTTTTTTTTTTTTGAAGCAGGCATAGAACTCAGGCCCTTGGGCTTGCCTGGCAAGTGCTTATTCTTCAGAGCTATCTCCCCGGCTCCTACCTTCTCATAATGTATTCAATAGAATTAGGACAAATAAAACCAAACCTCTGCAAGTATAACTGGATTCTGGTGTTCTTATAGACTCGTTCTAGGTCCTTGGCATCCAGAACAAAGAACTAGGTGAGATAAGCGAAAAGAGTAGTGAAGTTTTCCATTCATTAAAGGTAGGAAAAGAGATATGCTGCTGAGCACCATGAGAGCAGACCACTGAGAGTCCACAGTGGCCACGAGGTTAATGGTAGAGGACTTTTGTGTCTCTCTTTCTGCAGACTGAAGCCAGAAGTAGGCCATCCTATTAAAAACCTGCTTGATTTTGCAACAGAAGAATTGAAATTAGCACTTAGTGATTGACCTCAGGTACAGGGACTGGGAACTGTGTCTGTACCTGTGTCCTGAATCTGTGATTAATGAGTCGCACCCCTCTATGTGCCTTTGGGACCTCTCAGCTGTGACCGTCACCTTCCTAGCCATGGAACAGCATATTCTTGTTTATTGGCAAAGCTGTAACCACTTAACTGGCATCAGAGTTTGATATTCTTTGGTGTTTGAAACCCAGAGGAGGCCAAGTATTAATCAGGTAAACAGATCAAGCCCACTTGCTGTGCACACTGGTCTCCTGCTTCAAAAGACCGATCATCACAGTATGTGCAAACTACTATTCGTTGAAAGTGTAAGTGGCCCATGTGTGAGATTGCAAAATATGCACTTGGTCTTTGTCTTTGTTTCCTGCCATGAAACTTCTAGAAATCTTGGAGTTGCCAACGTGGTATCAACCTAGAGGAATGAGTTGACTCAACTAATGGCCAGCCTCTCCATGTATCTTCAGGATGGAAACTGGTCATTGGAAAAGCAAAACAAGATTAGTGGGGAGGGCTTTTAGTCCATTGACATAATGTCCAAAAGAGGAGAGAGGGTTCATTTGACCAATTATGACTAGTGACTTTTTTTTTTTTTTGGTGGAACCAGGGATTGAACTCAGGCCCTTGTGCTTGCCAGGGAAGTGCTTATTCCACTAAGCCATCTCCCCAGCCCCATGATTTTATTGTAGGTAGCTGAATTAGATAGAAATATCATAGACAGACTGGGATAGGCCTTCAAGGAGACAATATGGAAGACTAGATCTTGCAACTGTGGGAGAGACAGATACTGGTATGGGCCAGACCTCAAGACAAAAGAGTAAACAAATTCAGTCACCTATCTCCCTAGGGATAGGCATCAGGAATTGATATTCAAAATTGGTATCAATTACCTTGAAAAAGCCAGGAGAAACTGGTCTAGGTCCTATAGGAAAAGATGCTACTCTGTATTCGTGTCCACTTGCTACATGACTGGCTTTCCTATTTGTTCCTGATTTAATCAATTTTACTTGGGTAATTAATCTTATTAGTGGGACATAGTTTTGTTCATGTCATGTGTGTGTCTCCATTTTTTACCTTCGACCCACCTCACCTCATAGTTTTACTCTATAAATATCCCCAGAAGAAACAGATTCCTGGGCAACTCACTTGGGTCCCCTTCTGTCCCTCTCTCAGACAGAAGCTTTCTTTCTCCTAATAAATAGTCTGCTCTTAACCTCCATTGTTTCTAAATTAATTTTTCAATTTTACAGAGCATGAACTTGTTGTAGGTATCTTTTGGGTTGGAAGTTTTATTCCCCTATATCAAATTCTTTTTTTTTTTTTTTTTGGCTGTTTGGAGTGGTGGGGATAGAACCACAGCAACCTGAGGCTGACTGCTTTGTGGAAGCAGCCACTTAAACAACTGAGCTAAGGGGCAGGGCCCCCTCCCTATCAGTTTCATTATGCATTGGTAAACCACTTTTCATAAGTCAGTCTTCATGGCCATTCCCATGGAAGCTCTTAGAGCATGGTATTTCTGGAGAAGACATGGAAATCTACCTCATTCCTTCATCCCTTGCACTATGCCCCTTTTCATCTGTGTCTTTTGTCATATCTTATCATAGACTGATAAATTTGCTTCTCTGAGTTCTATGAACCACTCAAGCAAATTAAATGATTCAAAAGATGGTGTTTTGGAACACCTGATTTACAACAGGTTAGTCAGAAGCACAAGTAAAACCCAGAGAGGTTTTGAGACTAGGCCTCAATGTGCAATGCCTGACTCTACCTCCTGGTAGGCACTGTTAGAACTGAATTGGATTTCACCATACCCAACTGTTGTCCACTGAAGATTTGACTGTTTGCTAGCTGATGGGGAGAAATTTCTATGCCTTTCAGGCTCACAGAATTCTAATTTAGCTGTGGTAGTGTGAAAGCAGAGGAAAAACAGTCTGTTTTTCATTATCATTATCAAAAGATAATGGTAAATATTAACATGAACAAATGTTAAATATATGAAATGTTATGGACCATTGCTGTTGGCCTGCTCAGTGGGATCAATGGAGAATTTCTTGGGTGTGGTGCCAAGATTAAAGAACACATATGTGAAAGACATCAGCAGCATAGAGCAGAGCAGAGCAAGAGCCACCTCTGTCTTTATTGTTTAAGTCTTTTTTTTTTTTTTTTTTTTTTGGTGGAACCAGGGATTCAACTCAAGCCCTTGCACTTGCCAGGGAAGCGCTTATTCCATTGAGCCATCTCCCCAACCCCATAAGGAAATTCAAGGCCAGCCTGCATTAGCTAGTGAGGCTCTTCTTCTTCTTCTTCTTCTTCTTCTTCTTCTTCTTCTTCTTCTTCTTCTTCTTCTTCTTCTTCTTCTTCTTCTTCTTCTTCTTCTTCTTCTTC